CTGGCCGAAGGCTCAGTGCTCAATAAATGATAGCTTTTTTTTTTTTTTTTTTTTTTTGAGACGGAGTCTCGCTCTGTCACCCAGGCTGGAATGCAGTGGCCGGATCTGATAGCTATTATTATTCTTACAAATAGTCATAGTAGTATACATAATACCATTATTGCACACGGAAACACTCCTTTTTATGTATATTGTCTATAACAACAACAACAACATTATGAATAGTAGCATGGGCAACCCCAGACTTAACAAGCTAATCTGTTTCTGGTAACATCTGAAAGTCAAACCACAGTAGGTTAAAGGCTGCTTACAACGAAATTTGCAACTTTACTCTGAATCTGGTGTTAATGCCAGTAAGTTGCATTCTATGCCACACAAATAAAACCATCACATCCTTTATCTCCCTCCCTCCCTCCCTCCTTGCCTTCCCTCATGTATTGCCAGCACTGACAGCAACATCCTGGCAATCACTTGGAAGGCAGTTGGCACTGGTATAGGTCACATTTCCATCTCCATTAGGAAGTGGTAAGTACAAGTTTAGGTACTTACTACAAGGAGAGGAGGTGAATGTGAGGGGAGTAAAAACAATTTTTTTTAGAGACGGGGTATTGGTATGTTGCCCAGGCTGGAGAGCAGTGGCTATTCTCAGGCACAGTCATAGCTCACTGCATCCTTAAACTCCTGGGCTCAAGTGATCTTTCTACCTCAGCCTCCTGGGTAGCTGGGACTACAGGTATGCATCACCATGCCTGGCTCAAGAGTAAACATTTTTTAAGTCAGATATGGTAATCTACAAGTTGTATCTTCTCATTTGAGAGTCATCTACATTTGTACAGTGCTTTCTAATTCTTATACATAAACTATCATATTCGAGTTCAAAATAACTGTAAAGGAAGCAGGATAAATATGATGTCTGGCTCATGGAAAATAAAATTTATGAAGCTCAGAGAGGTTCCGGTGACTTACTCCAGGTCACACACTGTGAAATGGTGGAATCAGGCTATAACCTGGATCTCTAGATTTGTAATTTGGTGCTTGTCCACCATAATTGGTCTATGCATGACCTGTGGGGTTAGAGCAGCAGGTACCTTTATTTTTAAAAATCTATTTATATTTGATATTTTTCTCACTTGAAAGAAGCTCTGATTTCTTAGAAATGTAGCCTGCTTCTGAAACGGCCTCATTTTGTTAATTTTATAAGTACAAAACGTAATTATATTTATGGAAAAAATAATCTCCTTAAATTTGATTATCACTTCAATTGATTTTAATGTGTTCAGTATTTTAAAGTTACCTTGAACATATTAAATTGAAAATAGTATGTGCATTGTATTATGTTGGAAAATATTTCCTTTAGGGACTAGTAAATTATTTACTGCCCTCAGAGATAAATTATTCACTATAAAAATGCTTTTATGAGTAAAATCATATGATGCTTATTGTGACAGTTTAAGTTTTGAAGAGGCCTCATATTTAAATTTTTTTAAGTGGCACGTTTGTTTCTTACAAGTTAACAAAATTATTCAGCTATCTGTAAAATAAATGTACTGTTTTATTCAAGGCCCATGTACTTTGACATATATTATGTCAAAATGAGTCAGCTACAGCTACAGTGGATAATACGTTATTTTTTAGCCAAGCTGACTTTCTAGCTCAGCAGGAAGTTCAGCCAATTTTAAGGTCTTTAAAGTGTTGTAATCTGGTTATTTGGCAATACTAACTATTAGGATACCCAATATCAATTTGCCTAGGGAGAAGTCAACACCTAAGCCAATACTTGTACCAGTAGCTATCTTTTCATATTGTTCAATACCTTATACACACACACACACACACACACTTTAATTCCTTTCTCTGAGGAAATCATCTCATATATTTTCTCCCTAAACACAATTTTAGCACAGATTTCTTTTTTAAAGTATAAAATCCCTCACTGAAATAAATTCCATTTGTTAACTAGGAATGACACTTTGTTCACTGCAAAAACAAACTTAGAGAAGCAATCATCAAGATAAACACAAGGAAGGAAACTAACTAATTGGTTCCAGTCAAAGAAACAAAAGCTTTCCATCTTATTCTTTGGCTGTTTTACTTTAAACACAATTACTTACCAAGTGGCAAAAATGCAAGACGGTTTCCAGCCATGGAGAGCTCATTGAGGCTGGGCAGCTGGCAGAGATGGCGCGGCACATACCATAGACGATTTCGGTCCACAGTGAGGTACTGCAGAGAAAGGCACATGTGAAGCCTCTCGGGTAAAGTTAGCAAACGATTGGTAGAAATGTCTAGTGTCTGCAGCTCCTTCAAATCGCCAACCTCTACAACCAAAATCAAAATTAGGATAAATTGCATCCTTATGAACTGAAATAAACAAAATGAATCAATATTATAACAGTTTAACCAAAGGAAATCAGTAGCTGCAACTATTTCCATAAACATGAATGCTGAAGTACAGGAGTTTTGGTGAAAATGCAAATAATCCAACCTAGGTGGATGTCTTTAAATTACCCTGCCAGAATTTCTTAAATGGAGAAAAGGGCCGGCTGACATGGAGAAAAAAAGAGACACAAAGTGGTGAATCTGAACCAGAAGTCTGTCACTATGGCTTCTGCAACTTGATGAGTCAAGTTTGTTGCCAGGGTGAGAAAAGAACAATTACAGTCACTTCAAGGAACCTGGTTTTTGCTACTTGTGTGATTTTACCATCCATCTAAGAAGAAAATAGGAGATTTATGAATAATAGCAATGAAGTAAGTGCAACTTGTTCATATGAGCTAAATAGATTTCTGGAGTAGAAATTAGAATGTCTTTTGGAAATGTTCATCATGGTAAAGGTTTTAACAATAAAATGAGATACAGTTTAACTAACATTTTTAGATATTGTTTAGGCATGTGGCACCTTTTAAAAAACCCAAAGTATACATACCCTATAAAGGTTTACTTTAATTCCCAAATTAAATACTTCCATTTACTCCATAATTTCCTCATCATTGATGCCTACAGTTGTCATCTGTTCCATGGTGAGTACAATTAGGTCCTTTTCATACATCAAATCACTTAAGACTTGAGTGAAGATCAGGAAGTTCCTTACAAGGAACTTAGTCCCTCAGGGAAAAATCATCATTTTAGGGGAAGGACATTTACTCTTTTCCAGGACAGCACATTATACTGAAGACCTACAGTCAGCACTGTGCAGGACAAGTCTACTTTCACATCATGGAGACTTAGATGTCGAAGACCACTCTTCCCCTTCTTTCATCCTGTCCCTATTCCTGAGCCATTCCTTCTAGGTTAAGATTTCCCAGGCTCTACCACTTGACAGTACCCCTCTGTGCACATTCCAGTTTGTACAACAGTTGGATTAGTATTAGCTATGTCTTCTCTACTGGATAACAGTCTTCTGTCATCTTGGATGCTCAACTGAACAGAGTAGCTTTTCTCATTGCTACAGACCAGGTGGTGGTAAACTATGGCTCACAGGTCAAATCTAGCCTGTGGCCTGCTCTTGTCCTGCCTGCAAGCTGAAACTGGTTTTTTTGTTTTTTTTTTTTTAACATTTTTAAAGGATGGTAAACAACAATAAAAACAAAGAACACATGACAGAGACCATATGTGGCTTGCAACACCTAAAAATATTTACTATCTGGCCATTTACAGAAAAGGTTTGCTGATCTTTGCTACAGACCTTTTGTTAGAGAATTTAAAATAATTATTTTACTTTATAAAAGTAATACAAGTCCAAAATACCCTAACTCGTAGTTATTTTTCTAATATATATAAATTTGTGCTGGGAAGTTCATACATTACTGCTCAATTTCCTCAATACTGAACAAAATATACACCTGCAGCAGAGCAGGCAGGTAGGATTCAGTATACAGCCTGTGACTCTGAAAGGGAGTTTTCTACTTGAACTTAACTAGTGCACAGGAGAGTCAATTTCATGCTTGGCTCCCCTGGCACAGTATTCCACCTTGCTAAGCCTGTCTATCTCTTTCACAAAACAAAAATGCTTCTGATTTTGGGTGTGTGGGGATAAAACATGAGGAAGAATCATCGTGTTTTATAAGTCATAAGAAGAAATACAAAGAAAAAGAGAAAAGAACTAAATTTAAAAATCAAAAAATGACTATGTGGGAGAGAAGAGCAACCAATCTCAGACTTAACATGGGCAGTGTCAAGACAAGAATGAGACAAGGCCTCTGCCATTGAGAAGCACATCACACACAACCAACAAGGTGCAAGAGGAGCTCAGAGAAGGTTATGTGAAGGCTTGGAGAAACTCTTCCAAAATTTACTGGAGATGGGAATTTGAATAAGGCACAAAGAAAACACCTAAAGGATTCCCAGCAGGGCATGGGGGCGGGGTTAAAACCATGAGGAAAGGCATGCAAGTGAAAAACTAAATACAGCTTGCACAATGGGCTCTTTGGGGACCAACAAATGACAAAGATCAATGGGAGAAGAGCAGAAAATAAATTCAATACAGAGAGACAGAGTTTGGTGGAGACAGGAATGATAATAAATATTGGGTAGAGGAGCCTGGACTTACCATTGTGAGAATATGACATCTCCTGAAGAATCTTAAAGGATGAAGAGATGTTTTTTGGAAAGGTTAGACAGGCAAATATGCAGAAAGCAATGATATGGAAGGAGATACTAGGCTGACAAAACAAGTAGGCATTTGACTAGAACAGATGCAGTGTGATAGAATTTGAAGACAAATTCCAGAGGTGCTTTAACGAAAGCATGAGGTAGGCTTGATTTAATATGAAAAATAATAAAATAGGAAAAAGTCAAAGACAGTTACAAGCTTCTAGACTATTACACTTTAAGTGTGCTGATGCCAATTCTAAGAATTTATTTTTATAGAAAAACAATTAAAATGTCATCAATACCTCTGAATTGCATTATTTACAAACCATCTACTTAAAGGTATTTGAAAAAAGTCCATCAAAATGTACATGGAAGCAAGTAAAATAAATGATTTTGAACATATTTCAAAAATAATTAAATGTGCAAAAAAGCGTTTTTACATGGCTGCAAAAATTACTAAGGCCTGCACTTTTTTTTTCATTATTGTAAAATGGGGCAACAAGGTGTGATTATGAATTTAAATTTTGATGAGAAATATTAAAAGATTTAAACTTGATAAAGACCAAGTAGGATAAATACAAAGAGACCCACACCTATACACATCATAATCAAACTATAAAAGACAAAGATACATAAAAAATCTTGAAAGCATCAATAGAAAAATGGCTCACCATGTTCAGACGCAACAAGAAGATAATTAAAAATACACAGTTAAAAAAAGTTGGCACAGTAATTGAAATTGCACACTAAAAATATTTATCTAACATTAAAAAAGGCAATAAAAGGAGAGGTACAGGGAAAAAATACAAGATATGTAGACTACACATGGCAAAATGGGTGATGTATTAATAAACATAATCGTATCAATAATTACATTAAATGTGAACAGACTAAATAACCCAGTCAAATGGGAAGGCTGTCAACTACATAAAAAACAATATGCTATCCATAAGAAATACACTTTAGATTCAAAGGCACAAATAGGTTGAAAAGTAAAAGGATGGAAAAAAATACATACCATGCAAAAAGTAACATAAGAGAGAGCAGCTATATTCATATCAGAAAAAAAACAGACAAGAAATACTATAAGAGGCAAAGAGGAAATATTTCATAATAGTAAAATGGATAATACTTTAGAAAAATAAGTCAACTATAAATACATAGACATCTAACGAGAGTCCAACATTATATAAAGTAAAAAACTGACAAAACTGGAAGGACAAGCAGACATTTCAACATGATAGATGGAGATTTTAATACATTACTCTCAATAAAAATAAAACAACTAAACAGAAAACCACCAAGAATATAGAAAACTTAAAACTACACAATCAGCCAAATGGGCCTGGGCCATAATTCTAACAGACACACTCCTGAGAACCATAATGCCAAATGTTGAAATCCTGAAAGATCCAAAATCCCGAGTGTAAAATCTTGAATGAAAATCACAATCCTGAAAGATCAAAATCCTAAAAGTATAATTCTGGAAAGAAATAATTTTTAAACATTCCTTTTTAAAAAAAGACATGTATTTATTTTATAAAGAGGGTTTATTTTAGAAACATAAAAACCTAACAATACTTGATAGGTCACTTTACACAATAAAATAGGCAATAAAAACATATATTTTTGCAAGTATAAACACTCAGATATATTAATCATAGGTGCATGGGTATAATAGCTACAAGCAGAAAAACCATATTCATAAGGAAATATGTCAAAAAGCAAAATGCATAAATGCATACCACTATGCTTGGCAACTGTGTGCCGCCAGCTTTATAACTGCAGTCAGCTGCATGAAATACCGTGTTGAACAACCTAAGTCTTCTGAAGAGATCAATGAAAAACTATGACGGGTCAACCACTGAATACGCAGTTATCCATATCCAAAGAGCCAAGATCTCAAGAAATGTTATCTTTCACATATGCAGATGTACAAAATGGACATCTCTTCATTTACTGAGGAAGTTTCAACCTTTTTCATACATGCACAGTGCTTATACCCAAAGTTAACATTGTAATAATGCACTTTCGTGGACTCAAATTTATAAAAATGCAAATTAGAACTCTCGAAATGTTTACACAATTTATACCTCCAGTGTTGGAAATTACGTGAAGATGAAATGCTCAGCATAACAAACTGGCACTATGTGTGAAGGGGCAGAAGTTGTACACCATTGAAAAATTTGGCAGGGGAGATTTCTTGTATTTTTTTGTTTGCATTTTCACTTCTAATATCTTCAAAACACTCTCTCCACTTGTATTTGGAGGGTGGTTGTGGTCTACAAATTTTTGAAGTGTATGCTGTCTATTTGAAAGTCTGGTTATTGCTTGACCACTACAATTAAGTGATTTTCTGTATTCATAGCACCAATTATATTTTAAAATTTATCTTTTACCATTAAGTAGCCGCATACACTTAATTTATCACAGCGTTTTTGCAAGGGAACGATTTCACCGATCCCTTCCATTGTGTTAGAAGGAATATGGTAAGAAGGAATGATACTTGGCTTCCCCAATACCAAATCTGTATTAGAGGTTTTCAAAGAGACAGAACCAATAAGATACGTATACAGATATATGAGAAAGGATTTATTAGGGGAATCAGCTCATGTATGAGAAGTCCCATGACAGACTGTCTGCAAGCTGGAACCCTGGGATATCTACAGTGTGGCTTAGTCCCAGTCTGAAGGCCTCAGAACTAAGATGCCAATGATGCAACTCT